CACGCCAATAATATCTATCATTCGGTAAAATCTCAAACCCGTATGACTCGTCAAAACAACGTTTTTGTCAACATTTTATCTATTGGGATTAATGCTAATGTTTAAATCCAGTTGAAACCCGCTCTGCTTCTTAAAAATCAAGCACGTCTCCACGATATCCAATTTTAGAAATGGTCTTTTTAATTATTCTTCGAATTTCAAATTTTGTCATCTCTTTTGCGAAATTTCCTCGACCTTTCCAACTAGTTACAGCATGTAAGTTGTTATGATATTTCATTATGCAGCAGCGAAAACCAAATAATACATTATCGCCAATCGGGCCCAAAACATTCACCAATCATATTGAATAGATGTCCCCCTCAAAGAGGCCCCGTTCCTTGAGCATCTTTTAGACAAGCACAACCCAGACTTGAAATGGAACACATACATACGCTTCATCGCTAAAGATACTCGAAAAATGGTCGGTTCCTTGTATAACCCCAGTAAATACTTAACTACTCCTCTACCTTTACAAGAGCAAAAATTGGACCGAGCTGGAGCTGCATATCTCTCATTTTCCAGTTTCGATAGTCCAAAAATACATTCGCGTCCTTGTGGGTGACAAATTATTTCTCACCCAACAACACTTTTTTTCATACAAACGTAACGTCGCAGGCTGTCACTGTTTTATCGCTATTCCCTGGAAAAATGTTTCCAGTGTCTTGTATAGATTAAATATACTTGTATTAAAAAAAAAATAGATAACCAGGTTGATCGACACAGCAGAAGACCTTTTTTTTCTTAGTCCCTTGAAGGAACTTCTCAGCCTTATAATAATTTTATCTATGAATAATCTTATATAGATACAGGAGTAATATTTAGAACCATCTTCTGTTCAGACTTTTCCTACTGTGTCTTATCACGAATAGTTATTGTATTTTTTTCCATTATTATTCACCAATTTGCATGTACGGATCATATTTTTCTTGTATTTATAACAAGAGATGACGTGATAACAAAATTTTTGCCGACACAGGCACTGGATAAATCGTATAATCAGTTATTTTTTTCTCAAATATCCAATTCCTTCAATCTCGTATTTGGTGTCTTTGGGACAGTTCCAATGTCTCGGGTATTTTGATACTGAAACTATTACGATCAATAATTGCTTTAGTTCTCGAACAAGGTATTAGTATATCTTATTTTATGGTCTCTTTTATCTTCGCTCTGTATTCTACCGAAGCGGTCACGCTCACGATCTAATAGAACCATTTTTCTTTGCAATGAAATACTCTGGCCTTCTTGATTGTGTAGTGAGGTTAAGACTTATATCAAATTCCTTGACTGTTCAACATATTCTTTGCATCGGTTCTACTGATAATTCTTTTATATCTAATTTATTCTTTTTCTTTGAATTATGTTATATGATTTCCCCGTAAGATCAACGAAATTAAGGAACATTGAACCCGATCAGTATCTAGACGGGTGTTCGCTTTGGAATACCAGGTTCTATAAGTTTGGATATGTAAGTGGTGTAATGGATAATGGCTCGGAATTGTTATTCGGAGACCCGAGTTCCAATTGCCGCTGGGTTCGTTATATTCACTTGCGCGAAAAAACCTTGGGAAAGATATATATATATATATATATATATATATATATATATATATATATATATATTGTCCTCTTCCCCTTCTATAGGCTAATTAGAAAGACCTGTATAACTAAACTATTGCCATCTGAAAAGAAAATTACAATCCAAAAATATTTTCAGGCTTTAAATAACCTGAAAAATTTTGATAAGCCGTTAAAAAGAATGAATCAATCAATAATATATAATCAAATAGGTTTTATTCAGGTAAACATTATAATTAGTGGATACATGCGTTCGAGTAGATACCCGTTTTTTTCTGTTTTTTATTTTAACATCCGTATGGTCATCAACCGGCCTGGGCAATAAAAAGTCTTATAGAGAATGCGTCTGTCGAAAGGAATCATAACAGCATGTCTTTTGTGTCTCGAAATCAACTTTAAGCTATGCTAGCATAATTACCCCACAACAGGAGACTTCTCAACCATCTTCCTCTTTATGTGCCGTGTCCCCTCAGAATGTAGGTGATCATGGCTCTCCACAACTTTCTGCGCCTTGTGTGTCTTTCTGTTATCTTTTCCGCCATCGATTTACTCAAGCTCACTAAGTGTGTAATACGTTGTTTTCCTCTGACCCTTTTGCCTTTAATCTGCCCTGATTTTCCAATCACTCTTTCCTCATTATGTGCTCTAGAAACCTCAACAGTCTCTTCCTGATGTTAATTTTAAGTTTCCTTTTTTGTATCCATTTTCTCTATTCGGCGTTGCTTACATCGTATCCTCAGCATCCTTCTGTAAACCCACATTTCTGTTGCTTCAAGTCTCTTCTTCATCTTTGAGGAGATTGACCAGCACTCACTGCTCTATAGGATGACGAATATCACATAACAGTTAAGTTCTCTTTTCTTTGTTTCCTGCGAAGTTTTTCTATTTCTTTATCCTCTGCTTAGATTTTGGAATGCATCTTTAATTACACGTTTAAGATTATTATTATTTTTACTGCTTTTTCCGTATATATAACCTAGTCTTAGTTACTATTGATAACCTTTTACCGCTGCGGTAATCCTCAGGTGTCTGTATTTTCTAACAATAGTGAGAAGACTAAAAAGTTAGAATATAGAAGGAAAATGAATTATGAAAACATTAATTTGAAACCGAGTAGAATTTCTTGGGACAAAGAATCACCGGATATTGTCAAAATTAAAAAAAAGAAACTTAACAAAAACAAACATGTAAGGCGGGAGAAAAAAAAAACTCCATGAATAGTAGCCATTTTTAGTGTTGAATGTATAGCTACATTGGCTGGACATGATTGTTGGCCCAGAATTTAGAGTCTTTACTAAGATGATCGTTCAAAACGCTACGGATTTGAAAGTGCAATATTTCGAGCTAGTATTGTAGTAAGTAAAATAATAACACTGATAGTCCATGAATATAAATAGTGTAAATAATGATAAATCCTCATTCCAAAGACAGACAGAAATTGCCCATAGTTTGTTTGCGTAATAAAATCTGACACCACTAAAAACAAGTTATTATCAATAAAAATATATCTCAACCTATGGACTAATATTAGGAACTGAATCTTGCACAATATATTACAAAATATATAACGAAAATTTTATCAGTATCGGTTGGTTAAAACTAATTTACTTGCTAAAACTTTGACTTGCATAACAAAATCTGACAATTTACTTTAAAAGATAAATGATTATGTGACTTAAACCAAATAAAATCAATAGACTGATAAAAAGAAAACAAAAAGAACAAAAGAAAGAAATAAGTTAATAAAACTAGTGACGTCACGCGTCGTCAGCCCAATATTGAGGAGTGACGTTGATTGGCTAGCTTAGACGAGTAACGTAACAGATCGGCATGTCTCGCCAACATTAAGCACAGAATCGTCCTTTTTACCGCCACCTCACCTCCAGTTGGAACGTTTAATTCGATCTCTTTAGAACATAGAGAGCGACCACACGTCTCCTTACCACCAGATAAGGACAACAGACGAGGAAACAACGAAACTATTCTGGGATATCTTCCCCAAATATGCGTTCCGAAAACGGTGCAATCAAAGAATATCTTCGTCTTCATACTGAAGAAAGCTTATCCAACAAAATAACTCGAATACATCAAAACAATGGCCAGCTACTCGTTTCCGAGTCCATTGGTCTGCTAGATCATCTAGCTAGTCCCCGTTCCAGACACCTTCTCAGGTACATTTGCGTTTGTTCAACAACGGCAGAGCCCACCTCTGGTCTCTACTGAAACTATTCTGAGCGGACATTACTTACCGTTGCTGGGAGAGAGAACGCATTATCTGGCATGACCAACAGTTAGAACAAGGAAAGTAAATTCAAATCCTCGGTCACGATGACTTGTGACTTCGTTCTAACACAACCATCGCCGACTTACAAATAGTTTCGTCTAATCAACTTCACTCACAGAGCATCGGTCAACGCGAGGCTTTCAGGTACATTGCAACAGCGGCGATGGTCGGGATCGGCACTCCAAGGCAATCACATCCTGACCTGACAAGTCAACAATCCTGTGATTCAAATTCGAGTCTTGTGGTATGGGAAGCGACTAAGTGATGAGCCTCTTAAATCATTATTATTATTATTATTATTATTATTATTATTATTAATAGTAATAATTTGCTAGTAAAATAAGCAAACAAGTTATGGTGATATTTAAGCGTAACTTAGATGTAGTTACAAACATATGGGGCATTCAATGAATATCGAACTCACGATTCAGTTGTCACTGATGTAACGAGAGAAGTTTGTAGTCATTACTCCACGGTGTGGTGCCCTGAAGTAGACGACTTTTGGGCAGAAAGATAGTGTATTGTTTATGCTATAATTACATCTACATAAAAAAACAACAATGCAGTGCCTATAAGAAAGAAAGAAAAACAGAAAGAAAGAAAGAAAGAAAGAAAGAATAAGAAAGAAAGAAAGAAAGAAAGAATAAGAAAGAAAGAAAGAATAAGAAAGAAAGAAAGAAAGAAAGAAAGAGAAGGAAATATTGCGTAAGAAAAAATACCTAGCTTTAAAAAAAGAGTCAGTGAATGATAAATGAAACATTTACTGAACAGAAAGGATTACCCCGCCACACCAAAAAAAAAATTCGTTTGATCAACAATACGTCAATTCAAACCCAACGTATAGTGCAGTGGCTCGTTTTGTAAAAACGACTGTACTCGCAAGGGGAAATGAAGTACGAATCATGCCAATCGTTTGCTCTATATTTTATACGACCCGAGCTGGCTTTCAGCATCGCTTCGGAACCCAAAACAAGAGTCAATAGGTAGCATTTATCAAAGGCTGACATACTGGTGTCGCCTATGGCAATGCTTATTGGCGTCGCTTGTCCGAATTGTAATTCTTACTGCCTTTACCGAAAGAACGTACTGCGCTTTGAAGAAAATGTTATTCACCGGGTTCGCTAGAGTCCAGAGTTTTTATTCTTTATCAGATTCAGGAAGTCGTTTATTTAACGTGAGTCACCTTTTATTCATTTATTCGTTCTTTCTTTTTATCATTCGTGTTCATTTTCTTTGATTACATTTGCCCGTTATCTTCTTCTTCAGGATCTCATTCGTCTTTATATTTTCAATCATCAAAGAACTCATCCATTTCCTTTTCATCCTTTAAATAACTAGAAATCATTTTTCATTCACCCTTATTTCTTGTATAAGCAGAAAATTGGCTGCTTTTCATTCTTCTTCTTCTCGTTCTTCTTACTGTCTTTCTTTAACGTAATTTTGTCTTTATTGATGACAATATAAGGTATTTCTTCTTCAAATCGTTCTGTCTTTTATTCGTTTCTTCTGTCTGTCATTAGCACTTTTATATCTCTGTAATTTATCAACATATTTAAAAAAAAATTCTTTGTTTATCTTTACGAAAATTTTTATTTTAAGGAACACCTGCTTGATTATGTGTTTTATTTTCCTTTTCTGTTTTTTTTTATTCTTTTATTCTTTCCTTCTTTCTTTCCTTCTTTTTGTTGATATTTTACATTTTTTTCCGTGATATCTTCGTTTGTTAAACTTTTTTGTCATACAGACGTTCATTCGTACTTTTCTTTGTCTTTTCTTTTTTTTGCATCTCTTTTTACTTCCTTTTCTATAGACATTTTCTTCATTTCTGTCTCCTTCATTATTTATTCCATTATACTTCATTCTTTCATTGTTCATCATTTCACTCCTGCTTTCTTTCTTCCTATATCCATCTTCTTTCTTCATTCACTCTTTTCTCAATTTTCATGCCATTTTGTTTTTCCCATTCTTTCCATTTCTTTCTTTCTATTTCTTTCTTTCTATTTCTTTCTTTCTTTTTTCTTTCGTCATTCTTTCTTTCTTCATTCTTTCGTTCTTTCTTTCTTTCTTTCTTTATACTTCCTATTTTCCCATAGACACTATCTGCTTTCTGTTTTATTCATTATTTATTTGATTATTCTTCATTCTTTCAACATTTCATTCCTGCTTTCTTTTTTCTATACCCATTTTCTTTCTTCGTTGATTCTTTTATCAATTTTCATGTCGTTTTGTCTCTTCCTTTTCTTTCTTTCTTTCTTTCTTTCTTTCTTTCTTTTTTTACTCCTTTCTTTTTACTTCCACTCTCCTTGCATTCATCTCTTCATTTTCTCTTTATACAATGGCTGTTTGCATGTTCCACCTAAATCTTTCACACGGCATATTCAAAATGTATTCGCCACCTAGAAAACTAGCTCAACCTCTGCATCTTGGTGCGTCTTCGCGTAAGTACCAACTCTGTCTTACGGCTGGTGTCATTTTGTGTTTTTATACTTTACAATAATGCTCACCCCGTACAAGGCCCGAGAGACGGTCGAGGTAGAAGGTTACACAGTAACAATCACATATAAGAGGTTATTTGTGGAAGATAACGGTTAAGCCTAGGTTAAGATTGTAGTAAGCATCCTCTTGGGAATCGGTTCCACAAAGTTCGTGGGAACAATGTGTTCGATTTGAACTTATATCTCACTCTTATAATACAAAGGGAATGATGGTGGTTCGCTAAAATGTACGTGTTATGGCTGGTGTTGGAACATCGAACAATACTATATATATTGTTTAACCCATTCTGTTGCCATTGCAACAAGAGGAAGAATAGCTACTGTTCTATCAGAACAATGCCTGCCTAGTTTATGTCCTTGACCCTTAACATTTTCCGCTGTGTATTCAACAACATTCATTACCGGCACAGTTGCTAGAACTGTAACCTATTGAAAATTTATGGAACATGACGAGGCGATACCGGACACGCTCAGTTAGTCAACCAACAACCATTGGTGCATGTTTGCAACAAATACAAGAGGCTGTCTGTACGATGTGAGCGTATGGAAGTTTTTATCTGTGTTAATCCATCAGTTGAATCCACAGTATATTAATATGGGGCAAGGGTATTGTTGACAATTTTTTTTAACCTGCGCATGAAAAATCAATATATGCCATCATCTATACTTAGCAATCGATTAAAGGGTTTGTTGTAAGGTTTTTGGGAAAATAAATCAGATAATGTTATAAGGAATATGTTAATAAAAAGGGTATGTTTGAAAAAAAAAAAAGAAACGGTGTTTCAATAAATGGGAGTTTGGCAAGTAAGTGAAATAAATAAATCTAAGTTAAATATCCATCAATGATATTAGGTCAAATGTTTTAAGAAAACTAAAAATGTTTCAATGAAGACTTAGCAATCCGATAATATTAATGAATATCCATCAATTACCAACGAACAGATGAAAATAAATAAAATTATATCTTAAAATAATGTCTAATCTTCAAAATTACCTTAAAATGCAATAGAAAATCTTTCAGTATTCCCGAGTCCTTTTTTTCTTAAAATAACCGGAGGGTGTCCCAATCAAGTCAGTGGATGTTTGACAAAATCTTTAAAAAAACGTAACAAGTGAGGAGAGGTTTATTCAACACCCAAGATTACATCTCTCATTCTTGCACCTTCCTCAATATATATATATATATATATATATATATATATATATATATATATATATATATGAAATGGACAAAGTCCGACAATACATTTTTATGTTTAACATTATTTTTATAGATACAATTATTTATGCAAATGTTCTGTTTATAATCAACAGTATTAAACAACATTTACCGTCCTGAATGTCCGAGAAATTTTCATAGAAAATATTTGTCCTCCGACAGGATTTGAACCTGTATCCTATACGGAACCGTCATATAGCCTGACGTGCCTTTTAGCCGATTCGGTTGGCAAGGTCGAATTTACTGCTTATGAACTTCAATCTTCCATGAATCTCTCACGTACATTCATATCTGCTCATGGCGTATCAAATATAAACAAATAACGTCAAACATTAAGAATTGGACAAAGTCCAGCAATTATTTTAAGACATTTTTATGTTTAACATTCTTTTTATAGATACAAATATCTAAGAACATGCTCTGTCTATAATAAACAGTATTAAATAACATTTACCGGCCTGAATGTCCGAGAAATTTTCATAGTTTAATACTGTTTATTATGAAGGACGAATATTTTCTATGCTTGGATGCCAGTCTAAATTTCTGATGATTGTGGATATTTAAATCTTTTCACCTTTTTTTAATAAATGCTTAACAAAAACAAGGCCTAAGAGCCCCTCAAGTTAAAGGCGTACTGAATGAGATTTCTTTATAGATGTCAACCTGAAGTTAGTTCAGATTATGATAATATGTAGGACAGATAACTGTCAGCCCTCAACATTAATAGATTATGATTGTTGTGTTCAGAGAAGCATCCTCTTATGAGACTGTTCCATGAAGTAGCGGCCCTTGAGAAGAAGTTCTTTGAACACTATTTACATTTTTCGGACTATTACAGCGTTTCGGTCGTTATACGCTCCGGCCTTCTTCAGGTGTTTGGAATGACGTACTGAACCCTTTATTTCGCTCACTGGGGTAGACTGTTCTAGTGCCACGTACTATGTTTTTTTAATGGAAGTCAGTTATAAGTTATTTCCTGTTAATTCCCCTCTCCAAGTTCTCCACTACCTTAACCGGGTATTGAACTCACACTCTTTGAGTCCTATCACTGTATCTAACTAACGCCTTTATCCACTGTGCCATGTGTCCTCAAGGAGAACTTGGAGAGGGAAATTAACAGGAGATAACTGACTTCCATTAAAAAACATGGCACTTGGAACTAGAACTGTCTTCCCTCAGTGAGCGAAATAAAGGGTTCAGTTCGACATTCCAACCACACGAAAAAAAAAGCCAGTACAAGGGCCGAAACGTTGTAATAAAGATGGCGACATATATGAGGACAATAGTACGAATAATGTAAATAGTGTACATAATACCTCATCTCAGAAATAGAAACAGATACTAAAGTTCTTTGAATGTAACATCTTTTTTGTCAATAGAATACGAAAGGAATGTGGATATGATTTGGCAGGTATAAGTTGTAAATGTCTGAGATGAGGGAACCAGAGGTTTTAGCTCATCAGCTCAATTTGCTTGACCATAGCGATAGATTAGAGATAGGCTTTCGACGTTGTGTCAGTGAGAGAGAGAGCTTGTAGGCTGGAAAATTATTCATTACTTACAAGACCACGTAAAATCTTTTGGACCGGGGCAAGCCCGATAAAACATGATTGGACAGGTTCATCCTAGATAGAGGAGAAATACTCCATTTTTGATCTGATCTGACCTTTGACTTTCCTGTAAACAGAAGTCATGTCTATGTATGTGACTCTAATTAAATCGGCCCTATGTATTAATTAATTGTGTATTTGAGTCTATGTGACTGAAGTAGAAAATTTAATAATCTGATAACCCCCTGTAACAATATCTTGAATTCTTTGTTTTTAGAAAGAAACTATGATTTCCTAATAGCTTCTGATGGCAAAGCAAAGGAAATGACTGTTATTTCCTTCAAACTTTGATTTTGTGTACTTGACATCGATGTTTTGTAATTAACCTATTTTCCATTACATTCTCCATAGTTCAGCGCTAAGGAGAATTTTCTAGAAAGCTATAGAAGTTGGCTCTAATCTAGATAAATTCAAGGAGAACATGGGGGAATGTTCAGAGGAGAAAGATGAGAGCGTCTACCAGGATACACTGGACTTTGAACGACGCTATAAAGGATTGTATAGCGAAAACATGAATGAAGACAAGATTGGGGGTTGGTTCGGGAAAGTAATTCACATTATAAGCGTAAATCGCGAAAATCTACTCATTTCCAAATTTTTTCGTGATCTCTCTTGTTTCATCCTAGAAAGAATCAATGCCATCTTTGAATCATGTTATTTTGTTCTTACTTTGTGTGAATGACAATGTTCACACTGGACAGTTTTCCCAGTGGGAATAGGTGAATTTCAGAAATTATATTATTCTGGTTATGAATGCAATGTTTGAAGAAAATACTTTACATTTTTCATACTTTCTAAGCGAAAGCAAATAGGAAATCATAGTTGATACCTGTTGTGGTAGGATCCACCTAATTTGCATAGTGGAGTACCGACCATATAAATTTGGTTGGTACCGGGAAGAGAGGGAGGAATCAAGAGATTCAACCCGAGACTCTGCCCGACTGCGACTCAGTCAACACATTCTCCAGGAACGGTCTTACCAGGAATATACAAAAGACTATATGTAAATATTGTGTACACTTTCTTGTTTCAATACATTTTGTACTAAGTACCTTTTGTGTTGCGTTATTATTCCATGCATTAGTCAAGTTTTAACAATACCCAAGGACGAAAATCTTGTTATTCACTGTAATTGTTGATATGCTGTTAAAGGAACCAATGTAAACTAAAATATTCCCATTGAGTGACTTCAGTTCCATGAAACTTGTCGTAGTGTTGGCGTGTTTTGGCTAAAAGTTGCTATAATTATAGGTTAAGATACAGCATTTATAGCAAGAGACATTTTGGAAACAGGAATCAACAGTTTTTGCAGTTTGAACCCTTTTTGGTTTGTAGATGATCGTGGAAGAGTGAAACTGACAACAGCCATGCATTTCTGATTTTATGTCTGCATTATCTACAAATATTCTTGGAAAAATCAAGAACCCAAACTTATGTCTCCTCTTTAGATCATGTCGTCAGTCTACGATAAGGACGACTCTGAGGAGTTTGATTTGGAGACCTGCACCAGGTGTCTGTATTCGGTTCATAAAAGCATTCGTGTGGGTGGTCTGGACGTTCGGTTCTAAAAGTTGAATTCCTTGACCCTCATACGTCTTAGATTACGGGTGAGTCCATCATAAATATATAACTAATGTATGAAAGAAAGTGTGTTGGCATAGTTGTAGGGTCTAATTGGGATCCGTCTATGATTTATATTGCTGATTCTCTGGTCAGTCAATTAATTGACTGACCAGAGAATCAGCAATGTAAATCACGCTTAGGCGATCATGTATCTTTAGATACATGAGTGACGAGGCAGATTTTTTCCCTCAGTAGGTTGCTGTTTGTTTTTGCGGTAGACCAGTTGCCATCCAAGGCTATAGAACCCAGACTGTCCTGCTATTTACTCAAAGCTTGGTGGGGAAGAAGACGAGGATTCAAATCTTTTCAAAAGTATTTTTAATTCCTCGTTTATTTCGTCGTGGTGCCCAAATTTTTATGTTTTTTTTTGTCCTCCATTAAGCTCTAATGAACGATATCCGGTCAGCCATTTTTTTTTTTTTTTTGTTACATTTTTCGATTCACCGCTTGACG